TGATGAATTTATAACTTTTTTTTAATTTTAACTTGGTTGAAAAATAAATAAATTTATTTTCCCTATTAAAATTTAGAAACAAGTTGTAAATTTCTTAAAATGAAATATGCAAAATTAAAAATTGAACTTGTAAATTTTTAGAATGTAACACTTTAAAATTAATTATGATTTAATTTGAATTAATTGATTTCTAAACTCACCTATCATTCTCCCAAAAACAACAATTTTTTTATCTCCTACTTAATACCTCCTGACAAAACCTTTCTTTACCTTTCCTTCTCTAATCCTTTCTCCATGAAGGCACGAACCCCACTCCAAGTCGAGACAGCAACTTGAAAGCAGCGGCAGCACTAAAGTGAATGATTAATAATTAATAGCCATTTCATTTTGTAAGGAGCAGTAGGACCATCTTTGAATCTTCTTGATCCATTCACCATTTGCTCCATTGTAAGTTTTGTTACTTGATCGCCATTAGTTTTCTTTTTTGTTTTTTTTTCCTTTTACACTCTTGCCCTTTTACAAGTTATTTGATGTTGATCAATTATGTGAATTAGTAACACGATTTTATCCTAATGATTTCACTGAGCAAGAGAGCAGGTTGCACTAAAGAATACAAGCACAACAACTCATTTATTAAACTTTGATTTTGATGATTTTAAAATGGGAAAAGATTTTGTTTAACAGGAAAAATTAAAAGGGATTAATGGTTAATAAGGATAATCAGCTTAATTTACTTTAATTCTGACTAAAGGTTCCTTATTCCCATATAAATCTCTTATACCAAACTAGCCAAGAAATTCTAGGTGTTTCAAAGTTAAATTGGATTGAGTTTCTTTTCAAAATTAAGTATTTGACTTGGCTTGAATTCTTCATTGGACCAATTTCTTTATTTGAGAAGTCTTTCAAAGGAACTTAGCATCAAATTAAAATTTTGAAAACTTTTGTAAGTTATAGTCATTTTGGGTCCTTATATACACCAATATAGGTCATCTTATTCTGGCGATTTTTTCCCTTGTCTCATTCATTATTCTAATATAAACACACTATTCCCAAATAACTATCTATATTCCAGTATAACCACTTTATACCAGTATAGTAGTCCTTCTCTTGGAATTTTGCTTTGTTTTCCTTATTTTGGAACAATACTCTTTATTTGAATATAATTTCCTTTATTCTAGAATAAACAATCTTATAAGGGTATAAAGTCCTTGTTTCAGGAATAACTTCTTTATTTCCATATAGTGTCTGATAAATCATTGTCTTCTATGAAATTTATTCCGATATAGGTGAGCTATTCCTAAATAGTAAACACTGTGCAAAATTAGCAAATGTTCTTGACTATACTGATATAACTACCTTTATTTTAGTATAGGCATCAAGAAACATGTTTTGCTTCTCATGTTCAACTTTGAAATCTTCGAAACTTATTCCTTATCTATTCCTTTCACTTTTTGTAAGTTGTGTTAGTGCATTAATCATCCTAGAAACTTTTTAAACCCAATTTTGAGTTTGACTAAACTCTTATTGAGTCTTTTGTTATCCTTATTCCCATAGCACTTGTTTTTTTGGTATAAACCTCACTTACCTTTTGTCAAAACATCCATTGTAAAGAGCCATTACTTTTTTTTACTTGTAGTAAGAGAGAAACTCTATTATAAAGACTATGCCATCGCCTTATTCATGAAGAAACTCAAAGGAGAGAAGGTGAAGTGTCTAACAGCTATCCACACATGTCTAATGTAATTTCCATCTTGATATTATTAACATTTCACCACTTTATACACATAAAGGTAATTAGGAGTCATTAAATTTCAAACATTACTTTAATCATAGAAGGGTAAAAAATAAATGATTAAAAATTTTGAAAATTTTTTGGAATCATAAAGACCTTTTAAAATAATAGTTTGAGCTCAAACTAATAAAGGTTTAAGTTAAAACAAAAGAAGCATAAAATAATCAAGAAATAAGTCACACAAGGGAATAAGGGCAAAAAAGTCATTTTGACCCAAATAGCACATATACCATGACTTGTGTGTCATATGCCACCGCATATGGCATAGGAAAGCAAATCCTCACTATTTACCATGTGTTGCGGCGCACATGACATCAATTATTGTCATGATAGTTTGCTAGTGGCAAACTTCTAATGTGCATCATTTTCACATATAATGTTCAACTGGTGTGATTCAAGTACTCACATATAACTTATTTCACAATCTATCAAATGACATATGTTTCACTTCAATATGATATTTCGTTTGAAAATTAAATACTCAGATGCCAAATGACTACTTTTACGTCATTTTATGGCAAACGAGTGTCCTACTTGCCAAACTTGCATCAGTAATCACAACTAGGGCTTCAACCACATTTAATGGGCCAAAGTGTATGTGATTAAACAATTATAACAACAAATATATATTCCAAGCTAAATTTGGCCACCTAAAAGCTCAGATCCTTATAATACATGGCTATAATTTACATTAACACATAATTAACTTCTTTGGCCAAATTCTATACCTCAATCAATTCAAAACATCCCAACGTGCACTTGTATTAGTGTCTCGGTCTTTAAATCACATTTACCACAAACACATATAATAGGGCTAAGATACACACCACATCATCTTATACAAGTGCAACTAAAATGTATATGCATTTTTAATTGGCAACTTATAAACATGTGCACGTGCATGCACACAAATACAAATTCATTACACAATTTAAAATAAAAGGTAATTACAATAGTAATATGACTATTCTTGGCCTAGCTCTTTCCCTTGGCTCCTATGCATCTTTAAACCTAGAAAAAATAGTAATTATAAGGGTAAGACAAAGTCCAGTAACCAAAATAATTTACATCTATCTATTAACAAATAAAACTATAGACAAGTATGTAAAGCATGATAGTAAAATACATGATATAATACATGTAATCATAATCTCATATGCATGATTATACTATCCTCTTGAACCTCATGTCAACTTTTGACTGAATCCGTAGGCTATATGTAAAGCATGATAATAAAATACATGATATGATACATATAATCACAATATTACATGCATGATTATACCATCCATCTAACTCTCCGTATACTAAATCCATAGACTATCATGCTGGATCAATCTTGAAATATACTAATTTGAGCTCGCCTTCCATGGTAGAACCACCTGGCCAAAGGCATTTGATCCCACTTTTGGACTACACAATTGGTACATATTTATATTAAATGTTAATAATAACATTAATTATACAAGTACATGTAATTAAGTTCTAAACTTCCTACTAAATTCCAAACTCTCCTACACAACACAACCTCTCTTATTCTTCAATCTAAAACAACCCATTAAAATCCTCAATTAAAATCTACAACCTCAAAACAATTAAAATAATCAAATCAACATGTTGGGAAAATTTAAATCATAAAAATTCCCATTCCTATATCTTTAACTCCATTAACGCATCTAAATAGTCACTAGAAACATCCAAAAATTCAAAATCTATCAAATCCTACATTTTTCCCCATCAAAGAGATCAAGAACCAAATGGAAAAGATAATAAGAAAAATGTTTAGGACAATTAGTCTTAGAATGTTCGAAGCTACTTTTAGAATATCTTATTGTGAAGCTTCACCCTTCAAAATCCCTCTACCTCCCAATCTTGGTTGCTCACCCCCTCCTAACTCTTTTTCCAAAATGCAACAGAAAGTAGAAGTAGAAGTAGGGGATGTTATTTGAAAGTTGGAAGCAAGGGTTTAATGATTAATGAAAAATTGTGTATAGTTCTTGTCGAGCATACATATTTAAAAATAAGTCTCGTGAAATTCAAAAACTATAGCCAAGTTTCTTGAGACTTAAGTGTAATTTGAAATTAGAGTGTAAAGATAATAATGCCCCTTTTAAAAATACATTACATTAATCAAATAATTTATAACTAATTTATAACTATCACTTCAACTTTTTACAATTATCTAATAGTTAAACTGATTATGTGTTGTAAGTTTAACATTAATTGTTTATAACTATCTCATCAATAATTTACAATTATCATTTCAATATTTTACAACTATAGCTTCATATATTTAATAGTTAAATAGATCATTCATTACTAACAAGATTTAACACTAATTTTTTACAACTACTTCTTTGGTAATTTACAACTATGGCTTGAATTTCTTACAACTGTAACTTCATATATTCAATAAGTAAGGGCAGTATTATTTTTGTACCTCAATTTCAAATTATACTCAAGTCCTAAGGGACCTAACTGTGATTTGAAATTTCATAAGATTTATTTGTAAATAAGTTTGTTTCACATGCCCTATATGTAATTTTCCCATTATTTAATTTGTGGGATAACACACATTCTCTCTCTAAACTTTCTTTTTTTCCCCCTCCATATCAATCTTTAAACTTGTTACTTATTTTCTTTTCTAAAATCATATCTTCGAATTAAGTCCTTAAGATTTAACTCTTTTGCAATTAAATTATCTTTATTTATATAACTACATGATAATTTTTAATAACTATAAAATAATTTCATTAAATTCAAACCAATGCTATAAGTATTTAGCATATTTAATTTTGTACTTCTTCATAAAATAGTCATTTTATTCTATAATATGATAGTTAGAATCAATTTATCTTGATAAAGATTTGATCACAATTTCACATTTTATTTCATTAAATCACAATCCTGTGTTTCTCTACACCCTAGACAACTTTAATGAAGTTATTCTAAACCTCAATTTATTTAATAAATGATTTTCTAATATTACTTAAATTCTAACAAGAGAAATTGGGATGTCACAGAAAGTATGTTATTATAGCATGTATATATTTAATAAAAGTAAAGTTAAAAATTTATTAAATTTTGAGATTTAATGAGTTTTAAACTTTAATTAGTTTCAGTAAAACATATTAGAAGTGGCTTAGCTTATAAATAAGATTGTGGATTATCCCTACTAAGTTTATGAGAATTTTACCGCAACTACATATCAGTGATAATTACATACTCTAGTTGAAGTTTATTTCATCATAAGCGCACAACCTTTTCTTTTTCTTCTCTCATCTCTTTCTGATGTAGTATACAACCATTGTGCCAGGAGACAGACACAAGCACAGTACATGTACGTCATGCCAGACATCATTGTAGAATTCAAAGAATATATCTTTATATATATATGTATGGTTTCTTTTTTCAATTTAGGGAGCATGGATCTTCAAGATCTTGGGGTTGATTATTGAGAGATTTGACAGAGTTTGCAGGCAAGAAATGAGCCAATCTGCTAGTTGCTGTACATCTTTGACAATGTCTTCCACACGCGCTGCAATTTCTATAAGCAAAGAAGCTAGGGCTAGCAGTTGAAAAGTTTCAGTCAAAACAAGTTGTGGAGACAAGCCTTGTGTTTTTGTAACGTTTGTTATTGAATTAGATTTAAGTACTTGCTGAAGCTCTTGTGTTGCGCTATTAATCTCCCCAACTAAAATATCAACTTTAGATGATTTTGTCATATTTCGACTTGTCTTTGCCAGCTCTCTTATCACACTCGCACAGTTAGCGCTCAATCTCAAGGACATGCCACTGATTTGCTCCTTCATATGATCAATATGGTGGTCCTGTTCCAAAGTCAATATATATTATATATATGACTATATGTGTGGAGACAATGAGTTTTCAAAAAATTGTCATCATCTTTCTAGCGTCAATTAAACTCCGTATAATGTAATACGATGCTGAACTAATAAACGAACTTAAATGATATATATATATATATATATATACTCCCTCCATTCTAATTTATAAAATACTTTTGGAAGAGATTCGACGTTGCAAAAAATAAGACATTTTGACAATAATAATATTTCATCAATGATAATTTTTTAATATTATCATTATAATATGTTCTTTTTTTAATATTCTTTCACAAATTGAGTAATAAATTAAGAATATTTTTAAAATTTTATATTTTTATTTTGAAAAAATAAGGTGGTGAAGTGTATTTAATTAATGAGCTTTATCGATAGGTATGATTTTATTTGAAAATGTCTAATAAATTGAGATGGAGATAATATATATATATATATATATATATACACATGAAACCCAATAAAAGGTGAAGAAAGAGAACCCTTTTTTCTTAACAATAATATTGCATAGCGGTGGAGCCAGACTATTTATAAATAATATGTCTCCTTATAAATATTATATTTATATCGGTATCAAGATAATTAAAATTTTCAATATATCATCATTTATTGTTTGTTAACCATATATTGATACAAAAAAGAAAATTATTCATCATTATTTATTTAGATAATTTTCTTCAACACACACACACACACACATAAATACTACATATTTTAGTTATATCTTCCCTTAAAAAATATAAGATATTTTTTCTTAGGTAAGATATTAAAAAAATATAAGGCATTGTTGGATCTTCCAAGATGCAATTAATGGGAATTTTTTTTCAAAAATACCTTTAATTAGGGTTATAATTAATAAGCTTTTATAATTGAAACATCTATTAAATAAGGATAAATATAAAAAGAGTGTATAATTTTAAAAATAATTAACTAATTCATTGGGATAAATAAGATGTAATTTCCTTGTGTTAATATATCTAGCTAGTTTCTAATGATTAAACAAAGGAGAATGATAGTTAGGTCTTTAAACATTTGATGACTTTGCAAATTTAAGAGTTTCAATTGCATATAAGTATTTAAGTATTAAATATAACTCTTATATTATAATAGAAATATTTATTTGTAACTATTTGAATCGATATTTATAACTCATTTTTAATTTAAAACAATTTTATTGAGTCCTAAGTGTCATTAATTCAACCTTATAGAATCTAATTGGTATTCTCTCTTAAAAAAAAAAATCATTAGACCGTACGTAGAACTCAGTTATTATTAATGATCACCTTGTTTTCTATATTGACACAGCCAACAAGAGCATCAATGCAAGCAGCACAAGTGCGCATTGATGTCCCCACTTTAAGATATTGCTTCCATGGGTGACGAAATCTGAACCGGCCGTGGGCTGGTTCCCATCTAGCAAACTTAGCCTGCGCCATATACGAAATGGTCAAACCATTATATATAAGTGTGTGTACACTAAACTAAATCTTAAATTCCAAAAAATTAAAATGAAGATATATATTAGTTTCTATAATTTTAGCATGTTTTAGTATAGATTTTGTAGTACTTTCGTCCATTGTTTCAACTTTCAAGTCCCTCTAGTTTATATCATTTACAATGTTAGTCCTTTTACTTTTTAATATGTGTGTAAGGATGATGGAATGGCACTAATAATGTTAAATATGCTAGACTATGACTAATGCTATTAATTTGTACTATGATGAAATTATGATTTGAATAAGTTAACAATGTTGTTCACTCTTTGTTCTATTTCATTCAAGTGTCATTCTATTGAATCATAATATTCCACCCCACCACTACAAAGATTATCAATGTTAGTCATAGTTCAACATATTTAATATCCTTTGTCATAGTGGCATCTCATCATTTTTTGGGTATATTTAAAAATATGACTATGTTGCATATGAGATAAACTAGAACGGCTGAAGCAATGAAAAAATAAAAAATAAAAAGAATGACATTAATATCCCAAAACAATGAATTTATAATAATTAGGTTTCCAAGAAAATTTTCTGAAAAATTAGTTGTAAATATTAATTCAGATATAAATTTAGAAGTTCTAACTGCAAATAAAACATTTAAATTTTAAATAAAACTCTTAGTTTGTAGTTTGAATTTCTATTTACAACTATACAAGTTTGAATCAATATTTGCAACATATATTTTAGGAATATTTATTGAGCATTTAACTATCATAAATTTCATGTTTTGGGATTTTATTATCATTTTTTCAAAAAATTATACTAACTTATAGCGAAACACAGTAAAACTATGGAAATTAATGGTTGTGTTTTTCCAAATTAAATTAATCCATCACCAAATATGTATACCATTGAATCTTCTGTTGCCTTGGAACTCAGCACGCACTTGTAGCCTAACGACTTTTTATCAGATTCATCGTCACTAACAGATGAGGTTTGATCATTGAAGTACTGAACCACACAAACTGAAATTATTGTTCATAAACATATGTATTTAGCTATACATGTCCCAAGCAAATTAAAGAAAGTGCGATGATGAAATTAAAGTAATTAATTTAATTAACTGAAGGAAGACTAACCATCTAGAGAATTTGCAAGTTTGTCCATGTTTGTAGTGATTGAAAGATGGAGCTCCTGACCCGCCCAAACGGGGCGAATGGTGATACTCGTGATTATGCAGAAACAAGTGCCAATTACAATGGTTAATATCCTTTCCAGTGTCATACGAAATAATTCATCGACCCGATAACCCGAGATTGAAACCAAGCTAAAAGTGAGGATAAATATCACAGCACCATAATCAAATCGAGCCTTAATAGTTGGGATGAATCTAGAGAACGTTGTTGCAGAAGCTGACCACAGAACTAACTATAAGTTAACAAGATATTGGCTCCCCATAAGTAATTTGATAGAGTGTATAATTGAAAGTGGAGTATGAAAATTATAATCAACCTACCAAATTGAACTAATAAACTATTAAACTAGTACTTTAATTGGTTAAATAAAATGTTTTGTTTATTACCAGTTGATTATGGTTTGACTATTTTAATAATTAACCTTTAATTAGTATCTTAATTGGTTTAATGACTGATGTAGTTTTCAATACCTAGCCTATAGCTAGGGTGTTTAGATGATAAATCAAAAGTATATAAGCTTGAAGTGAGTCTATCTAAAATAGTTTAACCAATTATAAGAGACAAGCCTTGAGTGTGATTAGTCTTAAAACTTTAACATAGCATATATAAGAGTCAGGCACTCTTGAGAATAAAAAACCAAGTTAAGACAACTGGCTGGTTTGGCTGAGATTCCTTTTAATACCTAACAAAAAGAGGGAGACGTTGACAATGATTGGCTCGACATGATCTCCTGCTCTGCTGGCTGCCCAGTGAACACCAATGGCAAGAAGCCCAGCAATGGATGTGGCACAGATCCGATTTATAGTTTTACTAATTGTTTCACCTGCAGTAATTAATTTTCCAATTAATAGCTTAATTATATGCCAATTAATTATCCAATTAATAGCATAATTATATGCCAATCTGATATATATCATATATAGATTTAGATAATTTTCTCATATTTACAAGAATTTGGCTGATAACTTACAAGATTATAGGATCAAATTTTGTTGTCAATATAAAGATTTTATTAGTGGGCGATTAGGGGGCAGCATGCGTTTGTGTGGTTAATATGGTGGAGGAAGATTGTTGGGATATCAAGTGTGAGTGGCTAGACTTGGAATAGGAAAAAAGTCTCACATCCATTGTAGGTGGGTTGGATAAGAGGTGTATAAGTGGGGGAAAAAACGTACAAACTCAATGTTTTAAGGTTTCAGGTTAAAATATAGTGTCATACTCACTTATGTGTCTTTTCTTGGGGCTGTTAGGCAGCCCAGCTGTGTTATCCCCTTTTCCAAGATATTCCCGAACAATTTATAGATAAATAATTGTAATTTTGAGTAAATAATTAACCTTATGTGCAGTTAAGTAAGTACTGGAGGTACCCTACCTGCTGTGTACTGAAACACAACAACAACAGTCATGACTGCCCACATGGCATTTCCTTCAACTCCATCATACAAAGGCTTGACGTAGTAGAAAAGAGACACTAAAGTAAGAGCTGTGGCTACCTTGATGCCATGAATAAACTTTTTGGGATCTTTTACCCCTAATTCCCATGCTTTCTTCAGAAATTTCACCAACTTCAAACCCAACCCTTCAATCCATTGTTTGATCCTTCCAAATCTCTCGGCCAGCACTAAAATCTCCACCGATGACCCATCTCTGGCTTTTATTCTCCATTCAACTTCATTACCCATCTTCACTGCTCATCCCTTCCACATATACTGTATGCAATGATGTTAAACTCGTGAGTTTAGACAAACTTATAAAGACATGTAAATAAATTTGAAGCATGTAAACTCGCAATATATAAACTACCTCTAATAGAAAACTACTAAATTTTACATATAATTAGTAGCTCCCATATAAAATGGGCGTGCAATGAAGATAATAACTAAGATTTGAACTTTATTGACCTACCTGAACCTTGGGATGATATTGCTCAGGGCTGAGATTGTTCTCAAGTATATGTGTATTTATAGAGATGGTCTTCTTTTCTCTGCCATTAATTTATTTTCAAATTGTGTCGGTGAGGTTGGTCTAATCTAGAGCTTATCAATTAATTTCAGAAAATGATCCTTTTCTTAGTTTTGTTGGACACACATGGCTTTATGTTTTTCCGTATTTTACATGAAATTAAAAGCATCATATCCGTACACCAGCGAACGATGTAGCTAATTTTGGACTAAAGTTAGGTAACATATTTTTTACATGAGCGCATAATCAGATTAGTGATATTGTAGTTTAATATGAAAATAGAACTATAACTTATCTCAGGCATTATACAATATTTCAACGATTTGTAATCCAACCTAATTGAAGTTTAGTGACACGCTTCCACGCAAGTTGAGAGGGATAAAAAATTATAAAGATGTTAACTTGGGTACGCACTCAGGTGCTTATTGTTAACGTGGTGCAAGTCATGAAGCACTTAAGTAATATATTAAAAAGATACACACTGATGACCTAAAACCAGAATTAGTGCCCGCAGCAGCTGATATTAGAATTAGTCCTCGAACGTCAATGCAAGTGGTTAATATGTTTTCTAATTTCCATAACATGAAATATTTTGTATACATAGACGATAAAATTATAGAAAAAAAGGTTAAAGATCATTGTTTGCCTCAACTTTTTTTTTTTAGAAGTACTAGTCTAGTCACCTTATACTAAAGGACGAGGCAATATCTCTTTAAATATTTTTTTTTTCAAAAGCAAAATTATCTTTTCGTTAGAGACTTGTCATCTTCTTCATTAGCTGCTTATGTGAAATAGTTGTGAACCCTGCACACAATTAAAGAAAGGCATTCTGATCCATGTTGATAATTTGACATCGGCCAAATAAGGGCTAGAGGTGGCAGCGGTAGTGACAGGAACTGACCTTGATCTTAGCAGCAAAACAACTACAAAATGGATCAAAATGCCTTACTATCTTTATGTGGGGAAGATGCCTCATTCTTTGCAATGGACAATTTTGTCCCTAAAATATTGTTTAGGGGAAATATTACCCCATTCTTCATTGAAGAGTGCCCAAAGCTTCTCAAAAATAAGTTTAGGGGAAAATATTGGGGTTTAACCCAAAAAAAAACCATTAAGTGACATTAATAATCTTCTCAAATATTTTACGAGGACATGATATTCCCATTCAATTAATTAAGGAAAAATGATAACAAAATCCCGTCAAATTATTTCAATAATAATTTGATGTCTAGAAATGTCATAATTCTAGTAAGGGACTTTTGTGTAAATAAATTTTAAATTAAAAAAAATAATTTTAACACTTATTGACAAGTTATGATTTCTTGTTTAATTATTGTGATTCTTTAAATAAAAGTTAATATTCTTTAAACAAAAGTTGTGAGTGTGGCTTGTTATTTTGAAAACTTATTTTTCAATAACAAAATTGGCACTTGACAAATTGTGATTTCTTGTTTAGCTCTTGTGTTTTATGAAACTAAAGTTATTATTTCTTAAGCACAAGTTGTGATTGAGGTTAAGCAAAAGTTGTGATTGGAGTTTATTATTTTGAGAACTTATTTTTTTAATAGCAAAAATTACACTTGACAAGTTATGATTTTTTGTTCAACTTTTATGGTCACAAAATAAAAGTTGTTATTCCTTAAGCAAAAGTTATGATTGGAGCTTGTTATTTTTAATAAGGGTAAATGGTCTTTTTAATTTGAAATTTATTGACATAAAATTCTCTAGAGACTTTAGTTAGAGACTTTTGTGAGATTAAGGCATTTTGAGAGATCAGATTGTCATTTATATAATTTGGGAGCATTTTATTGTCATTTTCCCACTAATCAAGGATCACCTAAAACAGTTTGGAAGATTTTTTTTTTTCCTCTTTTCACACGTAGCATTACTCGAAGTGGAAGCCCCAATATGAGCGTGTTCTGTCATATAATATATATATATATATATAGACACAGTCGGCAAAAAGCAAAAAAAGAAAAAAAAAATACACACATACACATTCATCAATGAACAAATGAATGAAAATTAGGTCATGCATAGGATACCTGGAAAGTTAAGCAAGCAAGAAACATTTTAAGATAGAAATGGGCTTGTTGAATTTGATTCCATATCCCTAGCTTATATAGCAACGCACTTAAGAGTTATACACAGCACTTATCCTTCTGCGCCACTGATTGCACTCATATCATTGAAAGGCCAATCCAACTATCAAAAAGATGCTTTTCTCTAACTTCCCACAAAAGTACTTGATCTATTACATAATCTGTGTTATAAAATTTTTGATATTTGATATACGTGTCGAAATTTGTGGTGACTTGTGTGTTTGAATTTGCCACCCTTGGATTTTTTTTAATCAAACTGAAATGCCTTTATAAATATGTAGAAACAAATGTCCTACAACAAAGCAGAGACATATCAATCATCATTCACTTCCTATTAGGAAAAAAAAAGTTGGGATGATCAAAGGTGCAATATGTTCTCTCACATGTATGAGCTATCCTAGTTAGAGAGTTAGCTTTACAAATTATATCTCTGCAGGAAAAATTGATATAGCCCGATTCCCACTAAGCAAAAGGCAAGCATCATAAATAATAACATCTTTGAAATAGGTGATTCGGGTTGTAGCATCTAAGAATGAGATTTAATTTACGGGTTGAGCACAGTCATAGTGAGCTTCAACTTTTCCATAACCCTTTTGCTAGCATAACTCTCTCAACCTTTGGTGATCTCAAGCACTTCCACAATAGTAGGTAGGTAAGGTCCTAGCTAGTTTGTAGCAGAAACCCACAATACAGTAACCAATATTATCATTAATCACTAGTGAAAAATACTAATTTTCACTACCGTTAAAAATTCATTTTCGCCACTGCACATGGAGAATAGTAAAGATAAGTGTACTAGTAAAGTTAATTTTCTCTACTAGTGAAATCACAACATAAGCAATAGTTGGGTTCATTTTGCCGTCTAGTCTAATAAGGAATAGAAGCCATAATGCATCCGGGACTCCACTATGGAGATCTGGTCTATTAACGCACCAAACTCATAATATTACATAATGGAGTCTGTTATAACCATACCAGACACCATAATTCATATTCCAAACACATTTTACATAAACCAGCCCTTATTTATAACCTTGCAATCAAATTCTAATTATAGCATATCCAGAGACCATCAGTATATAATTTACACAAAAATTACTATATATCTACACAAATAAAGCAAATTATAAGAAAGCTTGTGACCAAACATTACAAACATGTCTTGGCTCTTCTTTAGAATGTTTCTCCAAAGTATTGAAGTGCTATAAACTAAAAGAAAAGTGTATATATATATATATATATAAGTGAATAGTACAGGTAAAATTCTACATCCTAAAAAAATTGGACTACTTCATGAAATGATCCCACAATACTATAAATGAGCCTAAAGGGGGGTGAATTGGACTACTAAAATTTTTGACAAATAATGCTTAGTTAAAAGGAGATTAGAGAAGTAATGATATCGCTAAATGTTCAGAGAGAAAGAAAGCATGCACAATGATTTATTTGGTTCAACTCCAACCACATGAGCCTAAATTTAGTCCTTAAGCTTTGCTTGAGATTTTGATCCACTAATACTACCAACATTAATATGAGCTCTTGGTTGCCTTAGTACAATTATAGACATAGTCTAAATCATTCCCCTTTATAAAAATAATGATTGAACCCATTTAAGCTCCCCATGCTTAAGTCCTCTATTTCGTAATATGTAAAATAGGAAGAAATAGAGTAAGTTCACAAAGTGAACTATTTCAACAAATACTCTCTCAAATAATTGATTTACAATTAGTAAAGTGCAACAACAATAAGTGAAATCATAGAAGGTTGGTAAATAATTAAATATGTTAGCTCATATAATAACTCTTTTGCATTCATCTTTATAAATGTATCTATTTATAGTTGAAGTCAATGATAGATGTGTTAGACACATTGAAGTAGCCATTCAAGTGTTCATCTTCTTTCTTTTTAGCTTCTCTAGAAAATATGGTGTTTGCATAAAACTTTTTTTACAGATTTTCTTAATCACAGCAAGAATGATAGTAAATAGTTAAATGCATTTAATGCTCTGATAAAAGGTACGTAAAAGAATACCAATGGAGTGAAATGTAATACAAGTAGTAAGAAATAATTTAAGAATATATAAGTGTTTAAATCTACCCAAAGTTGTGTCTAGAAAGATTCAAGAAAGTTGAAAAAGGTATGCACAACTATAAAAAATGAATAGAAAGGATTAAATCAATGAAACAAAGCTTAATTGAAGCAAATGAGATATAAAACCTCGTTATTGTTGTTTATACTAGTAGTAAGGGGTTAATACTGGAAGTGTTCTACATAAAAGACATTAGAACATAAAGAAAACAATACTAGAAGAGATTAAGTAATTCAAAAAGTAAGACTATAGTACCAATACTGTAAAGTCCTAGCTCAAACAGGGCTTTACCATCCCCAATCACATAATCAACAAGTACTAATATAATAATATCAGAGTAATAGCCCCTTATTTGTTTCCAAATCACGGGATCCTAACTTTTTAAAACATATATTCAAATAAGAGGACTAGTGAAAGTGTAAAGACATTCACAAGACTTAATAAGACACAACATTCTATTTAAAAATGAGTCATGCACTACGGCATGTGGTATAGAGCGACATGCTCTGTTTTTGTCTGTGTCATGCGCTACAATAGGCACATCGTGTATTGCAGTGCTATGACAGTAAATTCTACTATTATATGACAGCTTGGAAGATAAACTTTTACCACGCACCATTTCTACATCCAATGTTTAATTGGAGTTATTCAAGCGTCCACACAAAACTTACAATATATACTAGTTAATGGAATAAGTTTAGACTCAATCTGACAGTCTAATCTAAAATTAGACACTTGAGTATAAAAAGCCACTTTTCTATCAAAAAATTGCACCTTAAGCACTCAATTCTCATTCTTTGTTCCATTAGACCACTTCAGGCCTTAAATCAAGTCTAAAAGGACTTGACACCTCATACCACAAATAT